ATGGGGCGTGAATGTAAGATGAACATAAATACATCCAGTAGGGATCAGGAGAAACTTCTATAGGCAGACAGGAGTAAGAACGTGTAACTCACTACTAGGTCGAGCGGTTGAGGTGAATAGTGGATGGGCAATAAATCCAGTAAATAAAAACCGAAAGAACTGCGGATGCTGTAAATCAGGAAAAAAAAAACAAAGTTGTTGGAAAAGCTCATCAGGTCCAGCAGCATCTGTGAAGAAAAGGTCAGCGTTAAGATTTCGGGTTCGGTCACCCCTTCTCAGAACAACTGAAATATTAACTCTGACTTATTTCTTCACAGATGCTGTCAGACCAGCTGAGCTTTTCCAGCAACTTTGTTTTTTTTTTCCTGACCTATCCAATGACATCCTCATCACATGAATGAATTTTTTAAAAAGTACAGATACAGAGACCACGAGGCTCCTACGACCACTGGGCATCAGAGTGGCATGCAAACCCACATCAACCCTTCGCCAACTGCTCACCTGAACCAAAGACCCACGACCCACTCTGGACAGGACCAATGTCATATATAAGATTCCTGCAGAGACTGTGACAAACACTACATTGGACAAACAGGAAGGAAATTAACAACAAGGGCACACAAACATCAACTGGCTACAAAAAGACACGACCAATACTCACTCATCTTTATCCACCCAGATAAAGAGAACCACCAATTTGACTGGGACAACACCAGGATCCTGGGACAAGCAAAGCAGAGACAGGCACGGAAATTCCTAGAAGCCTGGTACTCTATGAAGAAAGCCATCAATAAACACATAGAGCTAGACCCCATATACACTCCACTACAAAGGGAAACCAGAAGTGAGGTAATCCATCCCAACGGACCCCAGCGTTTAAATAACAGGTGGGAAAACACAACGGCGCTTCATCGGAGGCTGCACTGAGGATGTTACCCAGCAGGGTAACGAAACATCTGCGGAACAACGAACCAGCTCGGCGAGCCAACAAACCACAACATCCACAACCCGAGCTACAAATCTACTCCAAAACCTTAGTACAGATACATTGACAATTAACTGTCAGGCTTTGTTTAATATTTTAACAGGGCAGATTGACTCTAATTATTCAAGGTATTGCTTTCAGAAATGAACAAGAGAATAGCTGCTAGCTGTTTTGTTGAATTGAAACAGGCACAGTGTGTGTACATGTTCTTCCTGTCTGTAAAGACCAGGGCCCTGATTATTAATATATGTAGCTTCCACCAGTACACACAAGTGCACCACAATGTGAGCCCAACTGACCAGCCTAACTTTGTACTCAGCCTAATTCTTCACACACTCAGGATTGCATAGTTAATGTTGTCCAATTGTGGAATCACATGGAATGGTGGACATCGTGTTGTGACCTTTGAGTGTGGGCTCAATGACCTACTTCACCTCCTACATCTCATTGGTCTTATGGGTGATGTGTTCCAAAAATGTAGAAAAGTTCTGGTGTCCATAGGGAAGAACCATATTGACATTTGAGAATGACAATACCAATGCATGGAATCTCTGACCCATTAAAGGCAGTGATTTTGTCATGTAGGCTTCACCACATTTTGTCATTTGCCTACATATTGATCATATTGGATGTGTAATGGAATAAGGTGAGCATTCATCTTTATGTTGACTTTGATTCGCAGTTCATGCTGTCTGTTGTTCATCGGAGGCACAACCTGACCATAGTAGATGCCCTAGCTCCTGTAAGTTGAAAATATGCTTTGTTCAGATAGACCACATGTACAGTTTGATTTAAATCTGGAAGTTATTATGTTACAGGTGCTTCCTGAACTTCATCCACATGTTTGTGCTTTAAGGGTGTAACCTTGGGAAAATTCTTTGCATTGGACTTTGGCTGAACCCTTTCAATATTTTGTTGTTAAACTTTATGCTGTATTTTGGGCTTTTCCTGAGATTCAAATGGCAATGTTTTGCCATTGCCCGTTTGTAGCACACCGTTTGCATGTGTCATAGAATGCTGGACACTACTTCAGTAAATGAGATAAACTGCACTTCACGCGTGACTGTTATTGGTTTTGTTTACTGTTGCTATTGTTGTAGTGGAGTCAAGAACTTTGAGGTGCTGCTGACCTACTACAACAGCAATGGCTTCAAATGTTCATCCATCTTCCATTCTTTGCACATGAAATAATGTATCCTTTAGCTTTAACTTAAGAATTTTTTTGAATGACTTTATTGTAGAAGCAATCACCAATTCCACGAGTCTTTCAGCCAATTCTTCTTTGCTGACATCACACTCTGCTCCTTTGTACCAACATCTGCCAATAATTGGTCAATTGTTTCACTTGATTGTTGCCTGTAGGACATTAGTTCAATTCTAAAGTTCTAACGGTTGAATTCTACAATTTACCTTATCCCTGAGCTGTTGAGATTAAAGATCTTTTCAGGGTTTTTCTGGGCATTGCCAAATAAACTTGAGGGAGTAACTCATCTCAGACCTTCATTTCATTGATCAATGAAGACTTTGACACCTTTCTTTCCTTGGTCAACTATTTGGTGGTCATTAAAGTGAAATATCATCCTTTGTTTGAATAATTGGAACTCTGCTATTAGGTCAGTAGCTTGTCACTGTATGTTGAGAATTTTGTTCTGTTATGTGTTGTATAGTATATGCTTGCTACATCTTTACTGTGTTTGAAGACGTTTCTGTGGAACTGGTTCTGAATGGACTTTAGCTGAAATGAACGGTACTGCTTTATTGCAATGGCTACTGTTTCTTTTCACTGTGTGCTGAAAAAGAAATGATTGTGACTGGATATAATATACAAGTCAGTGATTGTTGCTATCTGCAGATTGCAATCTCATTGACTTCAATGGGACTTAAGATGGCTAACATTTTGTGTGTCTTGCTTGATTTCATGCTTCTTTCCAAAAGTCAAAATAGCAGAACTGAGTGACGATTCATTGGAGAAAAGCCTTGAAAAGCAGGAAAAATACTCCTGCAGTTGTGTTTGTGCTGTAGCTGAAGCTCACTTCCTGCAGTAGAGTTAGATTGCACATTCATATAAACTGTCGTTTTTATGCTGTTGGGTCTGAATCAATACTGCTCTGCTCATTTTTTCTAACTAGTGGGTCAGTTCCACTGAAGCACTTTAACTAAGAAGTTAGTCAAATGCACTCATATCAGATAGGATGGCTTCACAAACGAGGGTGCTATGCTGCAAAATGAGTACAAACACTCTAAGTTGACCCTTCCTTACTTGCAGACTTCTACCTTGGGCTAAGTAATGTAGCTAGCTTGAGGATATTGGTCTTCTTGAGTTAAGCCAGGGAACTTTCTTTGGAGCATTAGCTACTAAGCAGTCTTCTAAAAACAATGTTCCAGTGCTACATGTAAGCTACCATCACAATTGGGTTTTAATATTCTGTTGGCTTTTGTAACATGAATACTGAGAGTGGGTTCATAATGGGAAGAAGTATCTGAAGATTCATTTACAGACCATTTACCACTTTATCACAGATGTTAGTATAGTGTGGGTTGTGTCACTTCATAGACAGCTGGACTCACTGACTTCCCTGATGGATTATGTAGCACGGCAGCCATAGCAATAGCTATTTAAGATGGAGTTGATATCTTTATGCAAGATTACCAAATGGCATGATGTAACACATCATCTCTGAACTCTCTTAATGGTCTGTACTTGCCTGATGATAGATGCACGCAACAGCACGACCCTCTCTCCAGATGTGCTGTGCTCGTGATTCCTGCTCTCTTATCAGACTCCTCTCTCCAGACGTGCTCTGGGGCTCATGCTCAATGTACATAAATATGACTTACTAAATTCATTCATTAACCCAGATGGAGTTTCGCTGATCAGAGACAATACACTGGGCACTATCTTGTTAATTAACTTGCACATTTCTACCTCATGGTATGTCACTTCTAAAAGCCCCTAGCACATCTGTCTCCTCCCATTAAAGGTCATGACTTTTCTCAGTGAAATCTGACTCAACCTCACCACTGTCAATTGTTTTCAAAGTGGAGAACTGGTATGCAAACACAAAAGAAAATGACTTGTTTTTAATTGTTAGGACATAGGGGTGGCTCAGTGGCTCAGTGGTTAGCACTGCTGCCTCACAGCACCAGGGACCTGGGTTCGATTCCACCCTCAGGTGACTGTCTGTGTGGAGTTTGCACATTTTCCCTGTGTCTGCGTGGGTTTCGTCCGGGTGCTCCAGTTTCCTCCCACAGTTCAAGGATTGGCCATGCTAACTTGCCCATAATCTCCATGGATGTGTAGGCTAGGTGCATTAGCCATGGGAAATGCAGTGTGAGAGGGTTAGGGTAGGGAAGTGGGTCTGGGTGAGATGCTCTTTGGAGGAATCAGTGTGGACTGAAAGGGCCAAATGGCCTGCTTCTACACTGTAAAGATTCTATGAAAACCAGAAGATACTGGTCAGGGCACGGCTGTGGACATTAACAACAGGCCTGTAGACCTGAAGATTGCTGCTCCTTTAATAGTCACTGCACTAGCCAGGTTGTTCCAGTACAGCTCAGCACTGGCATTTACCCAACAATGTGAAAAATCGCTCAAGTACATCCTGTCCACAAGAAACAGGACAAATCCGATCTGGCCAATTGCCATCCTATTGGTCTTATACTTTCAATCGTCAGCAAAATAATGGAAGGCGTCATTGATAGTTCTGTTAAATAGCACTTGTTCATCAACAACCTGTATCCAATGCTCAGTTTGGGTTCCACTCAGCCACACAGCCACAGACCACATTCTAGTCCTTGTTTTAACATGTACAAATGAGTTGAATTCTAAAGATGAGATGACAGTATCCCTGACACCAAAGCAACAATCTAATGAATAGACCATCAAGGAGACTTAGCAAACTTCAAGCCAATGGTAACCAGGGTGAAACGTCTCACTGGTTTGAGTCATACCTAACACACAGGAAAATTGTTGTGCTTGTCAGAAGCCAAATAATCTCAGCCCCAAGACTTTGCAATAGAATTTCCTTAGGATAGTGTCCTAGGCCCAGGTCCATTCTCTAGAAACAGAATTAACATTGAGTCCAAAAATTTTTCTTCAGACATTAACTCTGTTTCTCTGTCCGTTGATGCTGCCAGACCGGCTGAGTTCCTTCAGCATTTTCTGTTTTAATCTCAAATTTCCAGCATCTGCAGTACTTTGCTTTTATTTGAGTGTGATGGAACACTCTCCACTTGCTGCGATGAGTGCAGATCCAGCAACTCACAAGATGTTCAACACTGTGCAGGACCAAGCAGCTCATTTGTATGGCATGCGATCCACAACCCTAAACATGAATTCCCTCCACTGCCGGTGCACAGAGACAGAATTGTATTTCATCCTCAACAGTGTGTCTCAAACCTTTTCCCACTGTCATCCCTGTTCAAGGCTCGGAAACACTTGGTGAACAATGAAGGAGGAGGAGAAGACCTATTAGGACAAAGAAATGTGGGGTAGCCACTTCTGACTTGCAGCCAATGTCCCCAAGCTTTCAGCTCGTGGCTACACTTGAATCCACCCTCT